ATCTTGAAAAACTTGGTCGGGGGTGGGGTAGGTGTGAACAATGCTGCTAGCAACCTCCAGTTTCTTTATTTTTAATTTTTAGGTTTTTTACTCACTTTTTGCAAGACATATTTTAAAACATGTGACATTAATAAAAACAAAGCTGCAATCTGTTTAATTTTCTTGTGCAAATGTCACCGAAATTCGGTAATAAAAGAAAACTCCTTAACACCAATTTAGCATGAAGAAGCAGGCATTTCCTTTTATTGCAGCACTGAGTGTCAGGAGGATAGTTCCTCTAATCAGGCACACATAACGCTGGTTCTCTGTCATATTTATACACAATGTGACAAAGATTACAAAGTGGTGCACTCCCCGTTACAGTAGTTGGTTCCTATTTCTTTGCCTAGTATGCAAACTAGAATGCATGCTCAGTTCCTTTCTCCGCCTCTGTCTTTTGAGTAGGTGGTATAATTTGGGTAGGGGGCTTATGGGTGGGTGGTCGTGGGGACCCTGGCCCAAATTACCTTTCCCCTAGTTTCTCAGTACTTTGGTGTTGGTAATTGTTTGCTACATGCCTCAGGAAGATAAGGATGCTCCTGGAGGCAGTTAGTGTCCTCCCTTTCTGAAAAGTACGTATATAAGGGCCTTGAAGTGTCTTGTAGGTCCTCCTTTTTATCATGATGTGTAACAGGTGCTCATTCTAAGAATCTTTAGCCTTCTACCTAAAGTAACAATGAATAGTTTCTTATCATATATATGTAGGCCTTTGTTACAGGCCTGTCTTTTTTGCTACACAAACAAGCCTTGTAATCTAGGTTTTGGGGGTTTTTTTGATAAATCAGAAAAATCTATTTTATCAGCAGTAGCAGAAAAGTGCTGTGTTGTGGACTGAGGCATGACTGTTAATGAGCAGACACTTACAGTTTTTCTTCTTCAGAATATTCTTGCAAATATCAACAAATGTGATGCATTCCCTTAGCCAAGTACCTTTCTTGTTTTTGGAATAGGAGCAAAAAGAATCACTGCAGCTGTGTTCAAGCCTAGACATTCAAGATAGCCAACAGGAAAAGCAGAGAATCAGTTGTATAAATAGCAAATTACAACATTGTTTGGTTCTCTCATGATGTTCTACTTGAGGGAATACGACATGCCTTTCGAAAACGAACATTTTGTTACTTTTTCTGATTATTTCTGGATTTTATAGAGTTCCTCACTGTTGTGCAAACGCTTGGCTTCCTTTATTATTGAACACATTCAGGACACACAAAGAATTAAATGAATGCCTTGCTATCTGCATTTTTAAGCTACAGAAACTTCTGCAGCTTCAAGGGCACCATCGGAGACACGTAAAGAACAAAGATGTCTGAAAGCTGATTGCTTTCAGATAGTTATTCTTTCAACAGTATGTTGCAGTAACATCTAGAATGGCTCTGCAGGTGAGCACCTCATCAGAGAATAATCACTCCTCACTCCGCAACAGCTTTGGGTGAGAGATTTGGACTTAATTGCAAACTGAAAAGGAAAGCTGCATGCTATGCACTTAAGCACCACTTTGCACGGTAGGTATCATAAGAAACAGCAAGCCATCAAATGTTGATGTAGAGCAGCAAGGAGATCCCTGCTCTTTCCTCTCTCACTAACCTTCTGCTCTTGAAAGCATCAAATAGGTTCAACCAGAACTGAAGCAAAGCAAATCATCTCTTCAAACATGATACCCAGCAGCACAAACGGTCCTTGAAACATCCCAAAACAGTGATCAAATACAAAAGTATTTGATCTTTCAAACTATCCTAACAGATTATGTCATTACCTCCCTCCTCCCACCTTTTGACCCCTTATTCCCAAGATTAAATTTTTTTTCATGGTTTCAAACTACTTTTGATGCCCAAAATCTAGCTCATACCTCTGACATTAATGCACTGTGTGCATTTTGCCGACTAAATGCACAGTGTGCGTGTGGGTAACTTAAGAAGGCTCTTAGGTATGAAGTTAGTTTGGCAATATTATATACCCTGCTTATTATCAAGAACAATTTCCAAGGGGGGAGGTGCAGGGAGGGAAATAAAAAAAAAAACCTTTAAAAATCTGTCTGCCCCTGTGATTTTCAGCTCTTTGAAAAAGCAAGAGAGAACAGAAAAGCACCCCTGGTGTGTGGTGAAGATAACTACAAAGGAACTATTCTTCCCAGGTTCCTTCAGTAAAATGAAGGGTGCTTTGAATGTTTTGGCCTTGCTAATCTGACAGATATTGATGGATAATTTGGAACAGCCAAAATCTTTGTTCTAAAAACATTGACTCATACACGTTACATCCAGATGTTTTACTGGGTTCTTAATAGATATCAACTCTTTAAATACTTGGAAATTGCATTTTATACAGCGAAGTGTGCATGTATGCAGGGGAGAGAAAATACAGGAGAGGAGCTCCATTAAGAGCAGCTTAAAAAGGAGGATTTATGCCCCCCAACGTGGACACTCTAAATAGAAAAAAGCCCAACACTTTGTTTCTGCCTAATCAAGTTTGAAAATTAATAGCACCAAGATTCTTAATGAGCAATTAGGGCCTTGCAGGCTGCTCCCTCCAACAGGCACAGGAGTCAGTGTGTAAACACTCCAGTGCCGATTTCCCCACCACCCCCTGCCCCACGGCTGGGGGAGCAGGAACCAGCCAGCCCCCAGCAGAGACATCCCCACGGCTTCTGACAGCTGGCCCTTCATCTCTTCCAGAGGTAAAGGGCTCCGGTGTCCCCCCTCCCCTGGGATTCAAGAAAGGAAGAAATCTTGCGTCTGAGAGGACGTTGGAGAGGGACCCCCACCCCATAAGCAGTTTTTATGAGTAGGAGATCACGAATGAAAGCAACCAATGCATGCAGCGTGGCACTCAGCAGCTCTCCTCCCTGACAGTGCCTGAACCACTACCACCTGGGAGCAGTTCAACAGATAAGGTGCACAAGTTAAAACAAAGAGCCGACTGCATGTGGGAAATAAAGACATACAAGAACAAGAACAGAGGTAGCAAGTAGCAGCATGGGTTTGGGAAATGCGATGCTGTGCAACTCAGAATTTCTAAGTCACTTGAAATTGTTGCCCCAGCTTGATTCTCACCAGCTCCTGGTGGATGAACCTTTATATACTGGCTATTCTGCCTTACAGTTGCTGCTGGATAACCTCAATAATGAAAGTAGTCATCCCTTGATAAGGCAATCAGTAAATATACCATTTCATCCCAAGATGAAACTTGATAAGCCTTTTAGCAGAGAACCCTCCTAGCAGAAAAACAGACAAATTGCAATGTATATGAAATGTGACAAGTATTATGCATGGACCAAATTTCTGATCTGCCAGGAGTCAGACCTGAAGATCTGCTGTTGAAGTCCGGCTTTTCCTTCCCCAGCACATCAGTGGAATCACTCAGTCACTGACAGAAGTAGGTATGAGGTATTGCAATAAAGAAAATGATCTGGGCAAGTAGGATCAGGCCATTTCTCTGTGCCTGTTTGCAATAGTGTAAAGAGTTTGTTAACCATTAAGGTCAGGAAACTTCCAAAGTCATTTTTAGACAGTTCACTGGTGAGAAAGCTACTCAGCCAAAATGCTGACTGCTCCACTAGTTTAGACTAGTGTAGTCTGGAAACAAAAAAAGGCATTGGCATTACTAGTGCCAGCCTTACCATGGCTGGTAGGGGCCGAAAGCACGTCCGATGGTTATTTAACAAGTAAGGGTAATGGTGTCCCCGCCTCACTCACAGCACAAAGGCAGGCACAGGAGCACAGTAGCTGGGATCTCAACACAAGAGTCAATACTGCAACTTACACGAAAATTAAATTCCCCTTTCAATCTCAGAAATATTTTCCACGTTACAGAGAATGTAATCACGCAGTTTCACAGGACTTACTTTCCTTCCATTGCTTTTGAGAATCCAAATACGGCAACACAAGCCTCCTTTCTTGCACCGTGGATTCACATCCCTTAAAATCTTCATGCTATGCCAAAGCAGAGCAAGTAACAGCCCACCCTCAGCACCCACTGTCAGCAGCCACGCAGAGCAAAGCAGCCTTTCCTCCTGGGACTAGGCTCACGCGAGTGGGAATGCAAATCCAGGAGCATTTTCATTAACGATGAGAAGTGCAGCACAGGAACACAGGTCCCTCTGGGCTGATTAGCCAGCAGAGCTGAAGTTCTCTGGAGTTGTTCAGAAAAGTTTCAATCATGTACATAAAGGCAAAGATGACAGCTGCGCTTGTAAAGACAGATTCTGAAAAAAAAAAAAGTAACTACTAGAAAATCATACTCTTTAAAAGACCTTTATTTTGGTTGCACGGTTACAATTCTTAAGTCCATGTATGCTTAGAGTTAGATTGTTCCCAAATAACATTTCTTAGCTCACCATGTAAACAGTGCATTCTCTATCAGTCTAGTCCACAAGAACTTTATAAAATACAGATTATCGACCTTTTCATCTGTACACTTTTCAGATTAGTTCATCAAGATCAATTAAAAAGGCAAATAGATTAATTGGCAAAAAAGTGTTGTTACATTTTTAATACATTAGTACAAAATGGCACAAAAGGAAAAAGGTCATTTTAAAGGCTGCAAGCATCAAACATCTCAAACAGTTTGAATCAGTTCAACCGATTTCAACTTAATTTCAAATACCGCTGTTGAACTTGGAATTGAACTTGTAATCTGCTTTTCTTCAGCTGTAAGAAAGACCTCATGTACAACTTTGGAGCAGTTCATGGAAACCGAATCACAGCAGTTTCAGAACAGTGATATTCGAGTGCAGTTAAGAAGTTGGGAATTTCTATTCTTCCCAGCAAATCTAAGAACTCACAGACTAGAGCTTAATTTCATCTAGCCAAGCTCATTGATGCACACTTCGGATGCAGAGATACCAAACGTGTGCACATAAACCACCATATTTCTTAATGCAAGAACTGAAACAAAAAATCCACATCATTACATCATCCACCCTACCCACCTTTTCAGGAGGCTTCCAGGCATAACCATACTCAACCCCAGATACAGAGATATATGAAGCATCTAAAAGATTTCAGGCAAACTGAAGGCTTAATTCAAAGGCTTCAGTTATAAAAGAGAGATCACACCAACTTCAGCAACCTACATTTTATTTCTGAACCACCCATATCAAATGGGCAGGTGAGTGGGATGGAAGGGAAAGATATGGAAATACATTTCTAACTTAAAAATAAATTCTGAGATGTGAATTTGTTGCCGCAAGCAACAATTCAGGAGTTTGTTCTGGCAGCAACATTTAGCAATATCTCAAAAGATAATTATCCACTCCTTCAAAACAAATTATCAGGATTTTGATTAGCCCCCCTAAACCTTAACAGGTTTTTATGTTTAAGTTAACGGAACAGTTTATGATGTTGACTGTTTTTTCTTCCTGGTAAGACAGCAGTCACATCCAAGAGGGCAGGCAGTTATACTTACGGTAGTACTGAGAATGTTACTTCCCAGGTTAAAACAAAAAGTCTTATAAAAAAATAAGTGTGATGAAGTACAGAACCATTATTTTACTCAGCTTCACAATAAGCAAACCAGGACTAGGAATTTCCTTTCATAATTTAAATACCAATTGCAACATTTTCTCCAGAGGCTTATTTTACAGATAACCATATGATGATTCCAAGAAGCAATACGCCAACAGCAAGTACAATAACGAGGATGCACATCTTCTTTCGGGATTTTTGCTGCCAATAGAGAAAAAAAACCAAGTTGATTGGAAACTGCACCATCACATCAGAAGACTACTCAAATCAAATGCTTTTATGGTCCTACTGCTTGTGCAATCTAAATAATTGTGTCCTTGCTAACAGCAAGTCATATAAAGCTGTTCAAGGGAAAAAAAAAAAAAAAAAAAAGGCGCTAATTTACCCATTACTTACTTTTATGGTTGTATTATTCAACAGAATTATTTCAATGGTATTTTCTGGCATACATAATAAACTAATGAAAGAGAATGCAGTAATGTAATGAATGTAGAACACTAGGGAAAATAAAATGTGAAAGAGCAAGTGACCATGTACAAAGGAAAATGGACAATCAATCTGCACAGTAGAGGAGGCAGAAATGGTCTGCTGGAAAAAAATATTTAAAGACTATTAATGTATATAGAGAAGGTGACGAAGGACTGCAATTTTAGACTTCTGGAAGACTGACTTTGCAGCTATTCAGAGTTATTTGAAAGTTGGTTTTGTGAAGTTTTTTAGGTATAACTTGCTCTTAAAAAAAAAAATAAAGAAAAAAAGAAAAAAAAAAGAGACCTGACTAGAGACCCAGTTCTACAGATGTCCCTAGAATAAAGCATGTGTAATTTATGAGCATGTCCAGAACTTTCACATCTCCCATACAGGTCTGTAACTTGAGATACCAGAACACCCAAGACTAGCAGCCATCTGTCATCCTTTATCTGAAGGATATGGAATCTGAAGGTTTCCTTCACAGCAGGAAAGGAAATTACCAGTGGGTTTCACAGGCTTTTGCTGATAGCCAAGGGATAATAACACTCAAATCTTGGGATTCTAGGCCACAGCTCCAGAAGAAAAGCCAGGCTTTGCTCTATTTGGCAGAGGTTCTTCTGCCTGGGTGTTTTTGTTTTTTCTCCCCTGCAGAACTACATCTGTGTCAGTTCTTCATTGGAGCTGCCAGTTCTCTGCACAGTACCACCCAGACTACCAGGTTTCTTAAATATTCTCTTCTAGTTTTACTATCTCACTGGCACTTCTCCCATCATCAGGCTAAGATTTCTTCATTTCATCATGTTACTTGCTAGAACTCAATCCATTTGCTAGATTACCTTCCTTCTTTTAAAAATCTGTGGCCAATTCTCTCCTTATACTCCCAGTCTCTTCCGTTTTTACCCTGGAGACCACCTCTTGCCAACACTGCAGTGAAGTCAAACATTTTCCCTGTAACACTACTTAAGCAAGGTAGTGGACTAAAGACATGGAGATCTTATTTCCTCATACACTTGACCATCATTTCTGCAAGTGCTGAAGCAGCAGTGGTAAAGGGGGAAAGAAGGGAGAGGAGCCTGGCTTTGCCCAAACAGCTCTGCTGTGTGAATGCACTCCACAGTGCAGATGAGTGGTGCAAACCTCATCTAACTACAAACAGGACTTGTGAGGGTACCAACCATGTGCAGCCTCGTCCGGCCAGCATGTGGGGGGGGTCAGGGCATACAGATACAACAGCTGCCAAGATTAAAGTAAGTCTGCTGAAAGTGGAAATGATTTTTCAGTGTCTTGGAACAAGGATGAGTTCTCAAGCAAAGGAAAGTTCAAATCTGAAGCAAACTGCACAATCCTCTCAAAAACAGGCCAACTCTGCCCAGTGTTTGGTCTCTGCTGCAAGACCCACTGAACAGAAGCTTGTCAAAAGTCTCTTCTGATCTCAAAGGAAGGCTATTCATATTCATCCTTTCCTCCTCAAGATAAAGCACAAAGTTTTTCATTTTAAATTTCAACCAGAACACTAACACCTTCCACTGAAAATTTTGGCTGCTACTACTTTTTTTTTTCCCTGAACTTTGTCAGTATCAAAATAGGAGCCATCAACCCTACTTAATGTGCCACCTAGAATACAGTTCAAGGATGCATCCACCCTCTTCCCTCTCCCTGAAATCAGCAGGCAATCCTTCAGACATTTTGTCATTGATTTACTGTCCTGGCTACTACTAACACACATAAGAGGATTAAAAAAAAAAAAAAGTCTAAGGACTAACTCTGCCTTAAGAGGGAAGATTTATTACTAATAGGATTATTTCTAATAAGTTCCAAAAATGTTATAAAGAAGTGGCATTTAAAGGTATTTAAAAGGCTCTTTAAAAAAATTGAGAGTTTGAAATATTTTTAACATCAGGGTAGCAATTAACAGAAGCTGGATATATACAGCTTTAAGAAGATTTTAGACAGCAAAAATTGGTGCCAACTGGCAGCATCTTCAGAAGACTTCCCTGTATATCTTCCCTACTCCTCCAGTGATCTTTAGAGGCTAGCTCTCCATACACAGGAACTTTTTACTTCTTGAGCTGTAAAAGGAGGAGTTTGTTTGTTCGGGGTTTTTTTTCTGGTGTTTTGTTTTGTTTTTTAAATAAAGGTATAACTCCAGGTGCTCTGAAACAGTCTGGCTAATTTTACAGGAAACCCAAAGTTTTCAGAGGTCACCGACTTTTGTTGTATTGTGATCTAGAAATACCATTGCAGTCTAACATAAATGTTTAAATAAGTCTCCAAGCCTTGAGGAAACTGATAAGCAAAATCTGAACTGTGTAAGAAAGTAGAAGTCAGGACTAGTGAGTAAGGCCTGTTACGCACAACCGGCAGTCAGCATTGACGTTACCTGGTAGTTTGCTGCTCTTGACAGCTGTTGGTTTGCTTGCTGCACATGTACATCTGCATTTTCCACGTTGGCTTCTATGCTGTCTTTATTTTAAAAGGAAATATTTCAAATTTGGGTTAGTCATAACCCAGCCAAAGGTTTAGAATACTGAAATACACTTGAGAGCATATGTAATAGCTGCCCCCCAACTGCTGGTGTTTTCATCAATACCCAAAGTTTTATACCTTGCATTATGGAAATTTGACCCATCCTATATTTATCCCTGAGTTAATTTCTGAACCGCCCGGGCAACGAGTGCCTGAATCCATGCCAGTAACAGTTCCCCTGCTTTAGAAGCAGGGCTGACCCTTAGATACCAACTGGGGTAGAGAGTTTCAGTACTTTTCCTTTTTTTTTTTTAAACCTTTACGTGTTCTCCAACTTGCTACTGACTACTCTCTGCTCAGATTAAAAAAGTCTTAAGGACTATGAAATCAGAGGGAACAGACACACAAAACACCCCAAGAGGCATGACCAGTCGAGTATTCTATCATACTGACACAGATTTATTTTTTTCTTCCTGGAAAAACAAGAACACATTATGGGCTAAGGCGATAGAAAAAGCCCTGCAAATGTATGCTGGACAGCATGGCTCAGCAGCAGACTCAGAAAATGTATTTTCCAATCACATTTCATTAAAAGAATAAATCTGTTTGCATGGAGAGTAAAGCAGGAACCTTTGCTGAATCTGCACACTTATATCACTGGTCAATACAGTAAAACTCCTCACATGAACTCCAATTTTATGTACAAACAATTCAAAAAACCACTTTTAAAGACATTTTGTACACATTTAAAACTATATAACGTTTTAAACTACATTTTAAACACATTTTCTTAATGTATTTCCAGTCTCCTCAGCCAATCTACCCATTATTAGGTTGCACCTGATTTGCTTTAGCATTGATATTCTCATTAGAGGAATTTTTCCAGCAAAAGGAAGTTCTACATTGCTGATCTGCAGAGACACAGAATAAAAGATTTTCAGAGAATATTCGAATTGGACTTACCTATCACATCACCTTGTTCATGAATCATCATTCCTAGATCTTTAAAAATTTCATTGATGTCCATAATATCTGCCTGCAAGAAAACAATCATCACATTAATTGACATAACATTCTATCATCTCTGTACATTTAGAGACAAATACTGCTCCATGATCCTTTACATTACAGGATAAAAAACCTTAATACGTTTATTTGGAAGGCTTTTTTGGTACTACAAGACAGAGTTTATTATAATAAAACTAACTGAAGATGAGTATGTGCAGAAAGTACACTTCACATCACAAACAGGATCTCTCATTGCTGAGGTTTTGTCTACACACTTGTATCAGTCTAACTGAAGGGAAAGGCTCATGCCAACTTTGCTTAAAAACTATCTGTTTAAGCCAAATTAATAAAAGCATGTACAGAAAGTATTTTGCGTTAGTTTTAGCACGTCTATTAAATGAAACACATGCAAATTTAATAAGCAGCACAGTTTACAGAAATTACCTCTATAATATGACCAGGCCATTGCACCTATATTACATTATCCTATTACCATCTGGTTATGATGAAGTGATAGATGCCAGATTACCACTGTGTATATGGTCTCTTCTTAACTAATGACTGACACGTTTAGTTCACTGTATGTTAATATATGGGTGGCAAGAGAGAGATTATTGAAAAATGTATACATAGAATGGATTTTGCCACATGCATCAGCAAGACTTCCTGACAAACTCCAGTTCCAGCATCCTTCTTGTTGATGGCAGAGATATGGATTCCAGACTGGCTGGAAAAATTAATTTTGTCTTCACAGAAGTCTATTGATGTCAGTATTTCATCACACATGACAACCTGTGTAGTTTACATCTTGTTTTAAAATGTTTTAACTTTTGACAAGCCCTTAATTATAAAAATTTGAAGGAAACAGAGTATCTCTGTATTTTCAGAAGTGTTCAAAATGAATGCTTCCAAAATGAAGATGTTGAACAATACATTAGGAGTACGTGGGAGGAAAGATATAATTTTGCTTCATTTATAGTCACTATTAAAAAAGGTGCTATAATATGATGACTATGTTGGAAAAAAGGGATATGTATTTTTTTCTTGCAATCACATGAGCACTCTCTTATTCCATAACTGAACTACTGAAGTCAAACACAGTATCAAAAGATGGCTTTCATACAGAAGATTTCTAATGCACATTTCACATCTAATGGCAATATTTGTAGTTTTGAAGGAAAAAAACACACCCACAAACAAACCCTAACCCCTCAAGATTAATGTCTGCAATTAATTCTCATGCCACTATACAATGTTTTTTCTTTGGAAACATTAAAAGCACATTGCGCTGTAAAACCACTTGTACTTACCTCAAGCTGCCTAATGGAAGATTCTCTCTCCTCAATAAGACGGAGGTCATCTTCTGTAATTTCGTCATCTTGCACTTGTGCTTGCGGTTGACTATCAAACAAACAAAAAAAAAGCCACCCAGAATTGAACAGGCATGATGAGAAACAACTCAGAAGACTAAAACGGCAGTTAAATACATAGCACATACTTTACATTATCAGTTAATAAAATGCAGGTTTTTGCCTTTGGCTGTCTAGCTAACAGTAAAGGTCACACCTCTGGTCTAGGAAGCTGCTGCTGAGCAAAGTTACACACAGCATTGAGCTAGCTGATTGGAAATTCCAAGTATGAATACAACAGCAAAGTTTTTTCCGAATTATAAACTGCAAAGTTTATATCCATCTGAGGCAAAAGCAAGCTAGCCAACAAAACAGAATCCGAGACTGAGAAGCAGTTCATGGAGAGTACGAAAGCAATGGAAGATCCCAGTAAACACTGGACCCTTATCACAACTTAAGTTTTACTCTATTCACAGGTTGGACTCTGCTTACCTGAGTTTGGGTCTCAGAAAGCCCAAATACAGACTTAGGGCAGCTTAAGGAGATGACTAAAGCTGAAGTATGGGGGAAAAAAGGGGGACATGATGCAAAGTGCTTCTTTTTCTTCCCACCTATCCCACAAAAGCTTCTTCTCTAAACTTGCCCTATGGAAGAAAGCCTAACTGAACCACCTATCCCAACTCCCTCCAGAAAAAGGCAATTGATCAGAAAAAAAAAAAATAAAATTGGCAGCTGGCTTATCTGCAGGACATTTATTATTCTGAACTAGGTTAAGACTTATTAACAAATTCAACCTACCTGTCCCAAGAGACAAGTGTTCCTTCTTTGTAGCTATCTTCAGGAGCACCACCCTACATGATCAGTGTTTAAAAATATAAATAAAACATTATGGCCCTGAAAGGCCAGCATTTCTATGATGAGTCAATATTACAAGGTTTATAGTAAGTCAACTTCAAACTGAAACATGATTTAACACGTTCTCATTTTGATTTTGCTTTATGCATGCATAAAGCTGAAACACAAGCAAAAACATTCAGCTCAGTAACTGCCTGCTAAAATTTACAAGTATAGCAATGCGTATTTGGCAGAGTGAAAAGGCAAAACTGATATGCTGACAAAGAAAAGCTCAACATCTCAAGCTCCTCAGCACTTCTCCACTTTAATACTACATAGAAGTCTGGCAAGTGATTCTTCCCTGTAGGAATAATTTGTTGATACCTAAAGGTCCAGCTAAAGCACTTCAAAATCTACTAAAAATTGCTTTTGCAAGATTACAGCATGAACCCAGGGGCAGTTCATGCCTTTGTGTGACAAAGGCAAGGAAGAAGTAACAGTTCTTGCAGGGTGTTATTACAACTTAATTCAGCCTTTACTATAAAATGAACTGTGTAATTCAGCTATGCATAAAAGTGAGTAAAGAAAGGTTATAATTATATACTTATAATCACATAGCACGCATTCTGCAGTATTTGCAGTCAGAGATAAGCTTTTGTAAGTAACATTGTGGAGGCAAGTTTGACATCGAACACCACCAACACCACTGTGAACAGGGCATAATGGCACATTTTCCGATACTTACAGATACCCTTGAGCTGGCTCTTACTCTGGCTACAAAGTCTTTTTCTTTCTCTGCAGCTTGCCTTTGGAGTCTTTGGAAATTTGTTAGTGCTGTGGTGAACTCCCCCACAAGACGGTCTTTCTGTATTTTTCTTTGACGCTATAGGAGAAAGAGTTTTACCAAGTCAAATAAGCTCTGGCTTTTCAAGGCTCTGCCATTTCCAGGCTGCTCAATGCTAAGGCATATACTCATTTTTTTTCTAAATAGGTGTAAGGGAAGGCTGTCTACAAAACCATTTGCAACTGCATGGAAAAATCTTCCTTCCCTCTGGGATCACATAAGTCTGCACAATTTAAGGAGGAAACCAACGTATTTATTTTCATTTAACAGCTGGAAATGAGAAATGGGCAGGGACAAGAAAGCCTCTACCATCCTTATTATCTGTTGATTATAAAACCTAATGTTTAAGTATTTTGATACCATGAATGCTAAAATATGCAGAGGTGACTGTATGGGGAAGGAAGGATACAGAAAAGAAAGAACAGGGCACTTCACATGTATTTTACATAAATGCTGGAAATACATATTGAACTGCATCCAGAAGTGGGTTCACATCCTTCCTTAAGTGCTAAAGAACTGCTTCAAAAATACCTGTTCTAACCTTTCTGGCTTTTTTCTTAAGATATAGGGGAGGGAAGAGGAATACTGGGCACTCAGGAAAGCCTCCACCATATTTCCCTAAATGTATACATCAACCTTTCTTTCCAAATTTCTGAGAGGGTATAATTTGCCATTCATCAATCTGTTATTTATGCATTTCATTGGGAGGTAGCTTTGATGAGGATGCTCATGATAAAAGGGGTAAAATTAAACAGTAAAACACCTCACTGCCAAGACCAAGTTTTAACACCTCTATTAGAAGTTTACAACTTGACTGGATGAGCACATGTGGATCATAGCATGCATTTGAATTCAGTGTTTCAGGACAATTCATTTTCCTAAAGGCTCCTTGGTGACCAACCACAGACCAGGCAAGTTGTTTGAGTGACAATAACCTGAATTCACATTTTCAGGGATCCTGTTGCTCTTCCCTTATTTAAGTGACAGTTTTCACTAGAATAAGAAACCATAAGATAGGAGTGTGCTAATGTCAACAGGCACTTCACATGTTACCTCCTGCTGAGATTTTACACAAACCTGGGAAAGAAGCAGTTTAAAGACTGCACAGGTTGTTTTAGTAACAGGTCCTGTCCCCACTCCTCTTAAGAAAGGAAAACCTGTGGACAAGACATAGCACGTGTGCTGATCTGAGTGATGTAGAACAGGCCTACTGTGCGTAATCAAATTATTCGGAGTGGATGAACAGGTCTGGCCACCTGACCTGCAAGCAGTTTTGGCACACAATTCCTTGACCCTGGAAGCAGTGAGAGTGCCTGTGGAGTCAGACGTATCATCACTGCAATGGATTACAAAGTGCCCAGCTACCTGAAACCACAGGCACAGCCCACTGTCTTGATTCCTACCATTTCAGTCAAACTACCTCATTCCTGATACATAAAAACAACTTTGGAACAAGTCTGGGCTGCAACAAAATATTCTCATGTAGTAAGTGTCCCTGTTGTGCAAATGTGTTAACTAAACAGCGCTTTGAAAGCCTGGCGAGGAGTACAAAATTGGGCATGCAGAACTGAAGTCACTCAAGCACTCTACATGAGCCAACATGATAGTCAAACAAGACATGCTCTTTGGTTTTATACCTGTTCACTTGTTGCTGGCAAAGATCCAAACTCTTTAATGTATTTGTCGGTTTCTTTGGCGAGCTGGTTGGTGTATTGCTGCTTCTGTTGCCTAAAACCAAAAGCAAAGGTTTGTTAGAGACCATTGGCTTACTTTGTTTGAATTTCACTGATTCTCAGAAAAGCAGCAGTACTAAATGCTTCTCTGAAGTGCACAAAGCCATCTTTATTCTGTTCCTCATTGTAAAGGCGTGACACCATAGATTCCAGGCAGGACAGATGCTCAAGGTGTGTGCTCCTCAGTGTGACAGCATCTCATTACTCACCTTTTTTTCCCTTCTATTTTCCTAACACACAGCAATAGGTTTCTAGTTATTATGAATATCTAAACATGCTTTTCAAAGTCCTTTTGAGGCTATCAATAGTTAGAAACATCTGGTCATTTCTGAGTTCAGAATAACTGTAGAAAAGACCAAGTCTTTTCTCTGTGGAAGAACATACTATGGCTTGAATATAATTCCAATACCACAGTTCATGAAAGGTCAATTCCTGACAGTTACTGGGACACTTATCCAAAGAGATCTATATTCTCCCATGATACAATGGCTGCAAAGTTAGCTGAAAACATCATTATTTACGAATAGCTTTAACAGTGCTTAAAAAAAAGCCTCTTCTTCAACAGCATTGCTATTTTTGGTTTTACGTCTCTTTGCTTCCAATATTATCACATACTCCTTTACCAATTTTCATACATTTTTCCTGGAGCAACTAAAACTCTTTGCCTGCTTTTGTATCTTCTCCCCAGTGTATATAAAAAGATTTTATCTGGGAAGCTATTAGCAAACAATCAACATCAATATTTAAAATAGTCAAATAACTTTTCAGATACATACCAACATGACAGGAAGGGCCAAACATTCAGACAAGTGAAAAAGGGACAGATGAAAACTCAAGGAAGTTTACCATATATATTACCTCCAGAAAGGGACTGGAACATCAGTTCACAGCAGTTTCTACCCAGTTTAGTTGCGAATTTATGCCTAGATCCTGTCTGGTTATTGCATAAACTGTGTATGTTGATCTTCACTTATTCACAGTCTTCAGTAGGACAACCACTGTGGATTGTACCTGGCTAACGTTACGGGCCCTGAACTCAGGTTTTTATAAAGCAATACAAAATGAATGCGATGCCTTTGGTCCAACAGACACCTCCTCCCCCTCCTGTTCAATAGCCACAGCGCGGCATTAACTACACTGAAGGCTGCCAACTTTCTCACCCACAGGGTTAGCACAACACGTCGCCTGCATGCATTTATGATGCCGAGATTAATGTGCTAAAGGAGTTTAATGGAAAAAAACATACTGGTTCATTAGACTGTGCAGAGAAGTGGAGAGCAGCTGACTGTCTCTGCTAGTGGCATATTAATGAAAGTCCACCTTCAGGTGACTGAACCACAGCACATCTGCCTTGGAGCCTTATTCACTTCTGCTAGTCTAGTATTTCTGGTACATGTTTATTCTATAATGTCATCCCTTACTGTTGCTTTCATCGCTAAGATGACATTCCTCTCTCTGCCCCAGTATCACATCTCACAAAACCCAATATATTCATTACCTTGTGAAACTCACACAGATAGATTTGAAGAGTTGACTGGCATAGAAGGGTGCGGGTGTTTGTTTTTAAAAATGTGACATTGCTTTTTGTTCCAGCCCCTTTCCGTTTGCTGGCATACAGCATAGGTTTTATAGATGTATGGATGCTGCAGGCAATGTAAATGGGCAAACCAGCTGACTCTAATTTGCAAAGACTATCCGAGATTAATTTTAAAAAGGGGATCGCAGCATTTAAATTTCAAGCATATCTCTATACTCGCCTTTCTCAATGAGATCAAGCACTCTGCCTAACAAAAAACCACCTCATCATCTACCAGGAGATTGTTTACAATGCAATGAAATGAAATGAAACATTTTCATGTGAAGTACTCACAGCTGTTGCCTCAACTCAGGCGTATCTTGTGGTGTTCCAAGCTGATGTAGTATTCTTTGTATTTCAGCAGCTGTTTGTGAAGACGAAGAGAAATTTTAATGGGGCACAGGGGCACAGACAATTCCCACTTAACTTTATGCATTTTTGCTTGACAATTCTAAAGCCATAAAAGTTGACAGAAACTGATACTCAAGACTTTTTCAACCCACTACAAAGACTCTGCTTAAGAAGTCCCAGAACAACTAGTGATGTTTTTTTGCCAACTCAAAGACAATGCCCAAGGTTTCTTATAAAGCATGAGAATGTATTAAAGTGTTTAGGTAGAAACACGCCATTTAAAAATCAGTTAATAGTTTCACTATAATAAGTATACATCAGGCCTTTTAATATTAATTTTTTAAAATAAGCAGCACAATTCTTTTCTAGCTTAATTGTATTTTATGCATGTCATTTTGGAAAGCCATATGAACAACTGCCATGACATTATCATACACAAATATTTCAGAACCAGTACATTGATAAGAGACAACAACAAAGCATTCATGGGCTTACAGTACACCAAAAAAAAAAAAGTCACCAGGTGTCCAGGTTTAAATTGTAATTTTGAGATCTTTACATTTTTAAAATGTGGCATGCAAACCACCAGTAATTTTTAAGTGTATTTCATAAACTATATTAGTTTTGAACGGCAAAAAGTGACACATCATCTGAGCCTTATTTTCAGCATAATATATTTTGCTGTCACATGAAAAAGCAAGGAGAAAAATGGACAGACACTTTAAGGACATGCAGTTTATCACACTACAAAACTAATATCCTCAACATGCTTTATCTCAGCTTAACACCCTCACATCTTCTAAAATGAAAGAATACATAAGAAAAATAACTTATTTTTGCTTGATCTCAGCTAGGAGTAGACTTGTCTTCTCTGTATTTCTGTGTCCCTCTCAAGACAGATTGGTGTATCACACAGTCAGCAGAAAACATGACGGTACAATAGCACATGGAATCCTCACTTGACTAGCACGCTATTTTTTTCCCTAAATACAGTTAAAATTGCAGTAAAAGGCATCTCTAAGTAATGAAGAAAACCATTAAAAAAAGAGGTTTTTTTCCATCTACCGTGGAAGAGATCTGTAACAGACACAACTTCAGTTACAAGCAGAAAGTTACCTGTGACTTACATTAAGCAGTTAGATAAAACTGGAATTCCTTAGAACATTTTTAGTAATAATATTAATTCTAATCTTTGTTCCATAACAAGTCTCCAGTAAATTAAATCATATTGGATTTTCCACACTGCTTTAGATAACATGTCTATGACTGCTGTAGCCATTTCTCTCTGTGCACACCCAGGTAATGAAGATATCAAAAAAAGGGGAAAGTTAGTCCCCAAAGTTTGCATGAGGTGAAAATCAAATACCTCAAGGCAGAAGTCCTTGGGGGAATTCAGTGGACATGAGCTACTAAAAAATTGGGGAACAGCACTGTAAGATTAGTTTCACACAGCTTTTATTTTAATTGAGCTGAAAAGCAGCAAAACATAAGTGAAAATTGTAGAATTTTTTCTACAGTCACCACCTGCCGTCGAGCCCGGCGGGGGCCTCCTGCCTGTGGGATGGGATGGGATGGGATGGGATGGGATGGGATGGGATGGGATGGGATGGGATGGGGGTCCTCCCTCCCTGCTGCTCCTCGGCAGCTGGAGCTGGTCACACCTACCGGTAAATACTGCCTGGGGGTAATTAAGCCTTTTTTTTATCTTCAGTGTAATGCATTGTTTTAAAACAAACAAACAAACAGGTAACTGGCCTGTGTTCTCTTCAACAGTGTGAAGTTTTAATATCTATAAAACTGAACACAAACGATCCTTTATTTGTTCCAAGGCACTCTCACATCTGATTCATGAGCCAAGGTGCTCATGTATTCTGTATGTTCTTTTACAGTGAGAACAAATAAAAAACCAAACCCAAAACAAACTGCAAGCACTCTTGTTAACAGCTGTTTTGCAGACAGAAAAAATACTGATGTGTCCTACCGCCACCTAGAGATGCATTATTTAACTGCAAATAAAGAAAATCCAGGTTTGTGTTTTAAATAAAGGCTCTCACTTGAAAAATGCTCTGGAACAAAGCCTATACTTAAAATATTTGCATTCGAAGTTAGTTAGATATCTTTCCTACTTCTAAAACTGAATACGAGTAGATAATTGAGAGGAAATTAAAAGGCAGCACTGCATAGCTGGTCAGCTATACAATTCCAGGCAGAGGGAAGTTCATTCCAGTTCAGATCTTGTGATTCAAGAATTCAGCACAAAATTAAAACACATTTTACCAAGAAGTCTGTAAGTATTTATCAAAATAGCAAAGTGCTAAAAGGTTTTCAAACCTCAAGGGGAAAAAAATAAGATATACTAAAAAAACGAAGAACTGAACTGACACCAATTAGTCTGGGCCTCCCATAATTTAGCATTTTCCACCTTAACCTTTCACAATAAGGGTATTATTCAGAAAAAAAAAAACCCCACAGCATTTCTCTTTTCAATTTTTTGTTCATATGAAGTATGCTGCATTGAATTCAAGTAAGCAAACAGAAAAAAGGTGGAGCAGTAAAAGTAAATTGTGGCCAATATTCTCCAACAGCACTCCTGAAGAATGAAAAATTCACTTCATGAAAAAGCCAAAAGCAAGTTAGTAGGACCAGTATAACACAGGAAGCAGAGAAGCTGGCCTTCACAAAAATCTTAATTTACAGTACATACCTGCATGTTGATGAGTTAAAGAAATCCATCCTTTGTAGTCCGTATTAATATAAACATGCTAGAGTGTATACAGGCTAAAAAATACATTTCTTATGTAGTCTTACAATTCTTTGGGGTTGTCTTGGGGTTTTCTTATAGATTTCTTACTGTAGTTACTACTAATTCAAACATTTGATATGGTATTATACATATAATCACAAAACCACCCAAACACCAGACATTTGTCTACACTCATGAACTCGTACAGCTTTACTGATAAAACAAACTTTAAAAGAAGCTTTAGGACATTACCACCTGGATCACAGAGGTGAAATGTCTTGTTCCCTCACATGTACACACAGAGATCTTACAGAATTTGATTCAAAGCACAAACTGGCTTTGAAATTTCTTAGATAGAAGTCACTATCCCTTCCTTTCCTCAAGGGAAAAATAGGGTAGCCCTAGCCTCTCCTCCTGAAGGTTAGACTGTAGAAACGTCTCTGCTGGCTCCTTTCTCTGCCCTATTTGGAAAACAAGCAGAGAGAAGGTCTTAGCACTGAAAATGGAGAGCAAAACTGTTGGACACCTGGGATTACTTTTCATAAAACAGAGGTCCTTAAGTTCTCAGCTTTGCTGCTGATGGCGATATTTAAAATGGTACTGCCTCCTTCACTTAATCAGCTTTTACCTCTGTGCAGGGACTTCAGGCTGGCACATCAAGGCACCTGGCAGCTGCTTTGGTGCCTCTCAATCCATCAGTAATGCTCAAGTGTCCCGGAGAGCTTAGGCCCAACTCACGAAGTCCTAGCACTGCACTGTAAACATACTGGTAATGGCCAGGGACCAAAGATCAGAGCACAGTTTTCACGGGTTCCTAGGTTACCTCACCCTTTATGGTTTTACTTTCTCCACTTCCCGATTCTTCCAACTTCCCAAGGAGCTCTGAAAGACAGGAGTAATATGACTACCAGAGGTCGCCCCTGTCCTTCTGGGCATTACCAATCCTGTAACCGAGCCTGACTGGATCTTGTGAGTGATTTTAATCCATTTTAGTGCAAAGTCTGACACTTTAGCTCAGGTTCCTTGGGTACATACAGCTAGCTGCTGAACTATGCTCTGAAGCTGCAGAATGGCACACACTGTGTGCACACAGGCATTCTTCACCAAAGTCACCAGGAGATGGCAACAGTCCCCATCAGAGGCGTGCTAACTCCTGCAGCCACTTCTACACTGAAGATCAGGGTAGATGTTTGCATATAATGGAGATCAACAGCTCTTTCAATGCTCACATGGCAACCCTGCAGGAGCAGCACCTTGCCAGCTGTGGGCTGGCAATGAGCCACTGCACAAGGCAAGTCCCCCTTGGGAACTGTGCAGTGCGGGAAACAGGGTGCATGATGCCACACAAGCAAAAATGCATTTTCTTCAAGCAACTGCTGTCTCAAATGCAAAAGAAAAAAATCTCACTTTTTCCACCTGAAAATGAGTCTTGTATGACAAAGAAGCAATAACATATTAGTAAGAAGACTTTTCACTTGTCTTTGTGGCATTCCTCATCTAAATCTCATAATACATAACTATTAGCTGATGAAAGCTACTCAGCTACTCTCAGACTGGTCACATGCTCAGGAACAGGTCAGACATGGTTAATGATGAGCCAGAGAAACACTTAAGACCTAACCTGAATTCCTACAGAGAAAATTATTTAAGAGTCAACTCATGTTTACTTTTACTAAGCCAAACAGTGGTTCCATTTCTAGTCAGTGGAAGCTCTCCCTCTAGTTAAAGAGAACAAAAAAAAAAGTAGAACAGAAAAAAATATTAATACTGTCTCATACAAAAGGCCTCCTTTTCTCTACATGAGTTACAGGAGTAGTGAGATTTACAGTGGAAATATTTACATTTTTTTTAACAGGTAGGAGTATTTGAGAAACATGTTCCTGCCAGATCTGCAATAAATATGTTTTTATCTATGAAAAAAATACTATTTCACATACTATACTATCCTTGCTTAACAGCTGGCTTTTAGTTGGCTAGGAAAGAAGAAAGTTTCATCTCCTTTATCCTCATCTTCCCTTGTTTTTCAGCCACCTCTGCAAAGCTGCTCCATTACCACAAGTAAATCCATGTTGACATAACTGCTGGTTCTGCTCCTTGAACATGAAAGTGTTTAAGATCACACAGGAAGTTTCAAATTAAAACAGAGATATAAATAAAGAAATTAATACAATGAAGAGCAACATGTAAACAACTTCTTGCCTCTAAGAACACAGGAGCAACAAAGTTACCCCCAACTGAGAATTAGTAATCACCATACAGGCTGTAACACC